CCCAACATCTGGAAGTATGTGATCCCCATTTTCTGTTCAGGACTCAAGCCATGTGGTCCTGTCCACCAATATGCCATCTTTCCAAGCAGCCTCCATGTCTCCAGTGTCTTTTCCCCCACTTGGAGCCGAACCCAGAAGGACATTTCTTTCATCAAGGGCAGGGAGCAAACTCCTTGACATCCATTGTGTCTTCAGTAAGACAGCTGAGCTGATACTTGTACATCATGAACCATCTGGTGGTATTGGATCATGTATTTGTTTTCTTTAATTGCATTGAAATCATTTGGACCAACGGATGCCACTCTCGAATTGGTATGACTGTTGTGTGTTTTTAATTATGCATTGTTTTTTTATGTTGTTTTAAATTCTTTGTTTGTATCCCCCTTCCCTGGTTGAGTTGTGAGCCGCCCTGAGTCCCCTTCAGGGGAAAAGGGCGGCATATAAATAAAATCAACATTCAACATACATTCAACATTCCTGAAAAAAATGACTTATGGCATTTGTTGAAGCATCCCTGTGGTTACATGCCTTCCATTTGGATGCTTGACAACTGACTCAACATTTATGGCTGGCTGACCAAATACTACTGTCCCTTCCTACTTAAGGATGACCCTGTCAAAACCGTCATCAATAATCCAATCAAAGCCATCATTACCCAATTCCTATTCCCGCCCTGTTTCATTCCAAGGCTACACCAACACCTTTGCACCAGCTCTGGGGCAACCATTGCTGGGGCAGCAAACATGAAGGCCATTACCACAGCAGTCACCGAACTCCTGTGGCGAAGGCACCTTCGCTTCTCCTGATGGACGGGGCCTCAGCATGTCGCCGACTGCATTCATCCCATGCCGACTGGCTGAACCTTCCTGCTTTATCTCCATGGCAATCTGTGTGGGCAGCGACACGCCGTACAGGAAACCGCTGGTGGTGATCCCGGGAAGAGTGTCTTGATTGGCCTGCTTAAGGCGCACATGATTAAGGCCTGGCTCTCGGTTCCCCTTGGAGATGAGGGCAGAGGAGTTCATCTCAAGAGAAGGGTTGGGATCCCTGATAGAGTCCTCGGGTGGCCTAAGAAGAGGAGGAAATTGCACATCATTTCATGTTTACCCTAAATTGGTACACTGAACTATTTAATACAACAATGAGGAACAAAATATGCTGTAAATTCAGAGACAGGTTATTGAACATCAGCCAATTGCTAAAGCCGTATAATAAAACTGACTTCCTGTCCTGTTTATGAACTTCCAAGAGATATTTTGTTGGCCACTCTAAGATAGCAAAATCCTGGTCTGGGTAGAGTTTTGGCTTAATCTAGCTGAGTTCTTCTTATGTTCTTAAAGAAGCAGACCTTCAACTATCTCTCTCACCCACAATCTGGACCAGCAACACTCTCTCTTTATAATAAATATCTATATCATATCTATATCATATCTCCCCCCCCCACTCTCTCATCATCTTTTAATGACCCCATATAATCCCTTGCAGGGTGGACAACTGATTGGAGCTGAGTGGCTGGATGCCCTTCCTGTTGCCAATGCAGAGTTACTATATTCAGCAGACATAATCACTCTATCTATCTATCATCTATCTATCTATCTATCTATCTATCTATCTATCTATCTATCTATCTATCTATCTATCTATCTATCT